GCCGCCGGGCTCCGGCGTGCACCGCCTCAAGGTGAGGCGCTCCGGGCCGGGGTTCTCTCTTCCCCGCTCGCTCTTCTGTCTCTTCTCGCTGTCGGGGGTGACAGCCTCGCTGAGCCTCTGCCGGGCGCCCCGGCCTCCACCACCCTCTCTGGGAGCCCCCAGGAAAGGTTGCGGGGCAGGATTCCCCATCCCTCTGGTGCTTGCACCCTGCAGTGCCACATCGACATCCCAGACGCGACGGCCGAGACGGTGTACGACGTGCTGCACGACGGCGAGTACCGGCGCAGCTGGGACACCAACGTCATCGACATGCACGACATCGCCCAGGTGGCCGCCAACGCAGACGTGGGCTACTACGCCTGTGAGTGAGCTTGTCCCCCCCAAGCAGGGGTCTGTCCTGGCACCCTGGGGTCTAGGACACCCCTTAAGGGCCCTATAGTAGTTGCAGGGGGAGAGGTGCCGCTTGTAGGGTGTGAGGAGATCACCGAGTACCCTAAAGGAGGATGCTTGGGCAAGGCAGGAGCGTGGGGAATGCCTGTGGCTCTACGCAGACCCCGTGTTTTGATCCGGAAGATAAAGCGTTTTTCTTCCTCCTTTGTGCAGGGCGGTGCCCAAAGCCCTTGAAGAACAGGGACGTGGTGACACTGCGCGCCTGGCACGTTCAGGATGGCTATCACGCCATCATCAACTTCTCTGTCAAGCACCCGGTGAGTGAAGAGCAGGCTGGGCTCTGTGGCCCCAGGGTCTCTACGGTTCCATGTAGGGCAAAAATGCCGTCCTAGGGTTGACTGGTCACCAGCAGCCAGGACTCTCCGGTATTGGGAGCCAGGATGAGGGAGAGAGAGGGAGGCTGAGGAAGATGGAAGGTTGTTTCTGACTGTCTGACGTGTCTGTACAGAAATACCCTCCACGCAAGGATCTGGTGAGGGCAGTGTCTCTCCTAACGGGGTATCTGGTGCATTCAACTGGGCCCAGCAGCTGCCGCCTGACTTACCTGGCTCAGGTGGATCCCAAAGGTAGGTCCACAGCGCATCTCTGTGCCAGGCTCTGCGGGGGCTGCCGCCTCGCTGGTGGGAGCACAGCTACTTCTACCTCAATTTCTGTTGTTTGTGGAGTTTTTGTTGTTGTTTTTCTCTCAATATTTTAGGGTCGTTGCCGAAGTGGGTTGTAAATAAAGCCTCCCAGTACCTGGCGCCAATGGTGAGTGCCCGTGTTCCAGGTATCCAGTGAGTGTGTGGCAAGTGCCATCCCTGCGGCCGGAGGGAGGGCTGCCGAGGTCGGGCCTGCCCCTGTGGCAGGGCTACGCAACAGGGCTGCTCTGGAAATTAGTGTTTTAGCTCATTTCGGGGGTGGTGTTACATTGCACCAGCCGTGCTGGTGCCACCAGGTGACTCTGACTCACTTCTGAAGCCACCAGGAAGTGGATAATAGCACAGTTCTGGTCATATCTGCACACTGAGCTGCTTTATCCCCACTGCTCTTGTCCCATCTGAACTGGATCTTGAGGCTCAGTAGCTTGTGGAGCTCCTGGACTGAGTGGCAGAGCACAGTCTGAGGAGGCCTGTGGTGTCACAGCAGGACACAGAGTGACCAAGGATTTCAGTTCTTTGTGGGTGGGAAGGCTTCATTTCACACTTCTAAAGCAGCTGGTGTCTGTAGGTGGTCTAGGCAACCAGAAGATGGTCCCATAAAGGAGTTTTAACTGTCCTGCCCCTTCTTGCATGGAGCCCCAAGTGCTTTCTTAAGCAACCACAAAAGAAATGGGTCAGGAATTAGTAGTGGCTAGATGGGAAACATCCCTAGAGCTCCTTGAAGCTTTCATGGTTATTTTTCCCCGCTGCTTCCCTGTCTCTGATCAGATGTTGAAGAAACTGCACAAGGCCTGTGTGAAGTATCCTGCGTGGAAGCAGCAGCACGACGTAGCCATGAAACCCTGGCTGTATCCCGAGCAGAACACGCTTCCCACCCTGGCGCTGTCGGAGCTGGCGCTGCAGCGTGCCGCCTCGCTGGAGAACATCGACGAGAGCGGCCTGTCCGAGGTGAAGGACGAGCGGGGCGACCACAGTGGCTCGGAGAACTGATACTGCTGCTGCAGCCGGGGGAAGGAAGGAAGGAACACTACATGATGCTGCTCAGGCTCATCTACGTGCCTTATGTTAAACGGAGGGGTAGGGAGATTGTTTTTTTTTTTTAAAAAAAAAAAAAAAGGGGGGGGGGGCGGTTTTCTCTTTCACGAATCCAGCGCGCTGGACCCGTTCAGCAGCGAGGCCGAGTGGGGAGCGTGGCTGCGTCTGTCCGGGCTGTTGCACTCAGGGAAAGCAGCAATTGTATGAAACCCTTCTCAGGTGTAATCTGCTTGTGCCTTAACACAATACAGCTTGTTCTGGGGTTGTTGCTGTTGCTCAAAAGGTCAAGCTACCTGCAGTGCTTGTGGCTCGGTGCTTTGTTGACTGGGGAGTTATTCATTGACAAGCTAAGGCCGTTCCGGTGCACGTGACTGTGCCTGGGAGCAGCTCAAAAAATCTCATGTTGTTGGACCTGTTGTTTTCCCTGCAGGACTCGCTAATTAATCCAGTTTTTCCCTCCAGTTCAGGCAGAAGGATGACATGGACTCTAGTGAGCAGCACAAACCCAATTACTTGTTGGTCAGCCCAGGTATCTAAGGCGTGAATGTGCCTTGGGAGGGAATCCACTCGTTCGTCTTAGCCCACAGCAAAGCGATCACAGGGGCAGTGGGGTGGCCCCAAGGAGGGACAGGAGGAGGAAGCTGTCCCAGCCCTGTTGGCAGAGTGTCTGAGGCAGAACAGCCTGTGGAGCTGCTGCATCCCCGTGGGGCAGTGCCCAGGGCTCCTCTTGGCAGCAGTTCACTTGTTTGCGCTATTCCCTGCAGGCAGCAGAGCACAGGGTCTAGCCCCGGGCCAGGAGCACCTCATGGCACCTTTGGCCAGCAAGAGTGGGCACAATAGCAGGGTGAAATGAGGACAGAATAGTGGAACGCGCTGCCCTTGTGTGATGAGGGCACCTTTCCTCCCAGACTGTAAGCTCTGGAATGGTGCGAGATTAGAGGTAAAGGGTGCGACCCCCAGCGTGGCTCTAGAGCAGAGTTTGTCTTGCCTCCTGCATTGCAAACAAGACTTCCCACATGTGTGTTTTTCCTGGCAGAAAAAAAAAATCGTGAATTCCACCTCAGGCCCTACCTTCTGCATTAGGGCCTGGCAGGCTGGGTTAGGGCTGTTATTGCCCTGGTAGTGTTTAAAAACACCCCTTCGTGCTCAGCTGAGGCTGTCTTGAACTACAGATTAGGGTGGAAAACTGCCTTTTTAAGGGCACAGAGGCAGTGAGTGTGGGTCCAGTCTACTCCTGCTACGGACTGAGGGGCAAGTAGAACTGGTCCTTGCTTCTCTTCTGCATAGCACAGCCCGGAATAAATGCCACCCTCCAACCCTCCCCAGAGCCTTCCAGAATAGGAATAAGATGAAGCCCAGGTGGTGCAGTAATTTTATTAGTTCAGTTGTTAGAGGCAAATGGAGAGCACATCACATCAAAGGCCAGAGCAAGGGGCTGTTCTGCTCACCTTCACCAAGGGGTATGTGCCCCCCTCAACTGGACCCAGCTTTGCTGGGCACTAGTAGGTTCTATCAGCCCTACTCTGCTGGCATGGGTGCCTTTCTCTTTTCTGTGTAGAGCAGCCACCATCCAGCCTTTTTAATAGCAGGTGGATGAGATCCCACCAGTTCAGGAGAGAAGCTGTGTAAGGAATAGGAAAGGGGAGGAATTTCCCTCAGAGCAGCAGGGAGTTCTGACTGTGGAAAGGACAGAACTGTACCAAGGGAAGGAAGAAGCCCCAGCAGATGAAACCTTTAAACCCACAAGCAATGCATCAGAGGGAACCTCACCACACATCCACAGTTAAGAAACAGTAACGTGGGGCTGCTAAACAGCAAAAAGGTACAGACACAGTGCCTTGGTAGAGCAGTGCACAACAGCAAGAGATGTGTTTTGAGTTTGACTGGATTTTACTCCTCTTCCTCGAGTCCCAAAGCAAACCCAGTAGTCTAGAGCAGAGGTAGGACAGTGAAGAAGGAAAGGATTTTGTGTCACCAGAAGGGAAACAAACTGGCTGATCCCTTGGAAGCGATGGCCATGCTCTGCTTGAGCACACTTGGACGGTCTTGGCCTCACATCTTAGCAAGGGTTGGATCCAGAACCAGAAGAGCACTCTGAAAACCTAAGCCCTGCTAGACCAGAAACACAGGTCTCTGAAGAGGCTGCCATCCAGTACCCATTTCCACATCAGCACCAGCAGCTTGTTTCAGGACCTAATTCAGGAAGTGCAGACTAAAGTTCCATCCATCTCCAGGTAATTAAGACTCTAGTGTCCCTCCAAGCAGGAAGTAGAGCTGATGCCCATGCAGCCAGCAGGACAGTTGTACCTCCAGTGACAGCTGAAACTGGACATGTCAGCTCAGATCTTGAGGAAAGGCAGTGAAGACTTTGCAGGACTCCAGAGGGCCCCAGCAGGCAACTGTTTATTAGTGGACGGTTCTTTCCTTCTGTCTCTGGTAATCTGGAAGAGGGAGGGCAATGCTGAAAAGGCAGGAGAAAAGCTCACAGAAGCTGGGGGAAGTCAGCCAAAGTGTTACAGGGTCATTTTCCATTTTTACAAATGGTACTTGTTTGGCTTGACATCTTTTGTTGCTCCCCTCCTGACTGTCAAAATTTATGGGTGCAGAAACCTTAGATGATAATTTGGCCATCTCCTCCCCCTATTTCCCCCCTCCTCCCCCCTGCAAAAAAAAATGTATGTACAAGGGGAGGGATGAAATTACAAGCAGTGTTCACAATAACCATGGTTCTACTAGTGACAGAACTAATTCCCGTGTTATTTAAGGATAATTACCTCCTCCTCCAGCTCTGAAATTAACACTTCCATAAGCAGTCATTCTAGCTTTTAGTGTTGCTTTGCTAAGTCCTGCTCTACAAGTTTGCATGCAGGTAGCTGAAGACATTCCTTATTGTTTTGACTCAGTAGTTGTCCTCAGCCCCAAATCAAAATCTACCACCCTCCTGATCTGCAGGCTGCTAATTTGACACCACACGTCCTTACACCCAGAATGGCCAAGCGAAGCTGCAACTAGCAGCAATGCATGGCAGGCTGCTTCCTAGGGGAAAACACTGCCAGCCCACCGCACTCCAAAGCTGGCACGCACTTACTGTAGGGGAAGTACCGCACGCGCATGGTGATTTCACGGGCTGTCTTCAGGATCTCCACGGCCTGGAAGCAGAAGGAGCTGCTCAAGTGATCAAGCTGGTTTGGAGGTGAGCTAAGAGCAAAGCTGCAGCTACGGACTACAACAGCTTGTTTTGCACAGGTCAGATGGTTCATGAGGAACACTGAGACTTGTAGCACACCAGGTTAATGTTCCTCCGCTCTTCCTCATCAGTGAGGGCATTTTCTTTAAAATTAGGTATGTGCCCTTTGCACTGTGAATTACTTTGCCTGCTCTACACATGTACTAGGGGGAAATTACAGAGAAAAGATTGCTGATGTTATCAATGAAGATACCTAAGTGCTTGCTTCACACTTGTAACGGACACTGGCGACAGGTACTGAGATGGTGCAGGCTAAGAGGCCTGCAGGAGGAGTCAGGGACAGTATTGCCCTTGTCACTCTGCTCAGGAGTGTGCTGGGGCCTGGGCCAAGCTCCGTCCCTGCTCCAGCTGCTGGAGGGCAGGAGCACCCACCTTGCTGTGCTCAATGTCCTGGAAATCCACATCATTCACCGACAGCACCTGGTCTCCCTCCTGCAGCCCAGCTCGGTGTGCATCCGAGTCAGGAATCACCTGAGAACAGAGGAGCAGACACAGCAGCACTGACCCTCTGCCTGGGCAGTGCTGTGACTCCCCTCAGCACGCAGCAGAGCCCCCCCCAGAGGGCAGGATTAGAGGGAGCAGAGCACGAGGACTGCAGTGCATCCACAATCAGAAGCTGAGGACAGGGTGCGGGCTGGTGATTGCTGTTTGGCAAGTGGCAGTTCACAGCAGTGAGCCGTGCAGGCAAGAGACAGGTCAGGCTCCTCGCACACCCAGCTAGCTCAGCAACAAGCAAAGGAACAGGCAGAGCAGGGAAAGGAATGGCAGAAGGACAGACACACCTTAGAGATGAAGATCCCCAGCTGCGAGGCCTTTCCTCCACGGATGTTGAAACCCAGCTGTATGAGAAAGCAGGTTATTAGTGAAGTAAAACCACTCTTTTTGCCCAGCACCTTCCCCATTGTTAATATGTTCCTTCTAGACTGGGCAAAGGTGTTAACAGCTGCAGTGACTGCCCAGCTGTAAGCACAGCCCTTCTCTGCAGCCATCCCACCCGGAGCACCTGCTCCCTCCTCCTCAGTGGGTCCATGTCATGAGTTACTGCAGTTCTCTGCATAACCCACCAAGTTTCCCCTCCTTTACCCGACCCAAAGCAGTAGGAGGAAGAAAGTACCAGGCGTCTCCCCAACCCCTGGGGTTACCTTCGGCCCCAGCCGGCAACCGCCATCTTCGCACCCATTCCATAGGTCCTTGTTAAGCCGGGGGGGAAAGGGGGAGGAAACTCACCTGCGCCCCAGGGGGCTTCTTGAGGACGACGGTGCGCGGCAAGAACTGCGTCAGCTCGTTGTTGTAGTCGGGGTGATAGACCCGCTGCAAGACAAGGCGCCGTGAGCGGCGTCTCCTGTCGGCACGGCGGCCGCCAGAGCCGCCAAGGCCCCGCGGCCACCTCCCCCTCGCGCGGGCTCACCTCGTGCGGCGGCACCCAGGCGGGCGGGCTCTCGTAGGGCGGCAGGAACACCACC